AATATTTACATATTCCTTCAGCTGCGCTTCAACAATTCTTTCAGGCAACTTTCCCAAAACAGGCAGAATACTTATTGGTCTTAAGTGACCAAACTCTGTAACATTTGACTTTATTGTATGGCTGAGACAAAACAATGAGATGAGAAAAGAAAAGAAAAAAAAAAAGAATCATAACAAATCCACTAACTCGCTCTTTAGTGAATTTTAAGGGTACTTTGATATATGAACCATGGGCGACTTCGGCTCCCCTAAGGAGCTACACCCCTCCAAAAATTTTGGTTAAATTTGCTTTTCTCTAAAACTATAAACGCTAGGAAAATGAAATTTGGGAATATGTTTAACTCATAATAGGGCACGTTTTGACCCTATTTGTACTTTCATCCTACCCTTCTAAACTACTAAACGTAACCACCCCCGTTCAATTTATGTCTAGATTTTTTTTATGAAGATGATAAATACATTGGACAAATTTCAGTTAGATAGATAAAACTATTCTAAAACTTTTTTGTCTCTCTGATGTTCTTCTAAAATTTAATAATTTCTGAGAAAAAAAAAATTAAGCAAACACTAACTGTTAAGTTGTAGGGTTGTTAATCAATAGTTGGAATGAATTTTTAGGGGGGTAAAAACCGTGCACTATTATGAGTTAAACATATTCTCCAAATTTCATTTTCCTAGCGTTTATGGTTTTTGAGAAAAAAAAATTAAACCAAAATTTTCCGTCATTTTTGGAGGGGTGTAGCTCCTTAGGGGAGCCGAAGTCGCCCATGGTTCATATATTAAAATACCCTTAAAATTGCCTAAAGAATCACCTCCTGAAGTTCAGATACAGCCTGTATATTACACGCATAAATCTGCGGACAAAAATTTATCTCATGACTACTAGATTTTTTTATTTTTACTTTATTTTACTGATTGTAGATTTTGTTTAATAAATATTTTCAAAAGTAATCTAAAGTGTACAGGTTGGGACAATTTCGATGGCCACATAGGCTATCTCCGAAACTAAAAGAGATAGAAAAAAAGTAGCTTACATGTCATGATCTCGTTTTTCGAGAAAATGCTAATGCCGCAAACTCCGAACAGCTATCGTCTTTTGTTTTCGCCCTATCGGCAAAAACTGAAAATTTTGCAAAAACGACAATCGCGAATATCTCACTTATTATCAAAGATGGAGTATTATAAATAAAACATTATATGGGCAACTTTTTACGAAAAATTCAGTGGCGTAGGTAGAATTTTTTTTTTTTAGACGTATCTTTATTTTTTTAAATGGAAACCATAGTTGGTTATGACTTAAATAATTTGTTATTTTCTTCTGATAACAAATATATATAGTTTGTGGGGTATATTTCTTATAGTTAATGAATAATTAACAAAAATTCATTTTGTTCTATCTAAAACTAATGTATGTATTTAAAAGTTAATGTTGCTATGGTGATAACCATACATGCTATAATGGAACATAATGTATCAAATAATTGACAAAGTTTGTATTTAAAAATTCGATAACAACTCTGGCATTATGTGCTGGTATGATGCACCAACATGTCAAGTGTCAAAGTATAACAAAACTGAATAAAACTTTACAATGAATTTCGAAAATTATGAAAAATGTAACATGATGGAATGCTATATGTTATCAGATAAGAATGACAACCGCACGTAAGAACCTTCAGCCGGTTAACAGAAAATTTAATAGATATTTGGTCCTTCCCCAAACCACATGCAAAAACATACCAAAATGACCTGCAAGAGAAATTGCAACAAGACGTCTGACCCAAAAGCCGCTGCTCCCGAATATGAAAGAAAAATAAGTATAAACCATACAAAGCGGGGCTAACTCATTATTTACGTGCCGGAGATGTCAATCGAAGATTAGAATTTTGAAGATGATATATAGAAAAATTAAATAATCTGCTATTTGTTCAAAATGTTATCTGGACCGATGTAGTCTCTGAGTGTTCAAAGAAGATTGGGGTTCAATGTATGGTGTGTCCTTTTAGATAATAGAATTTTGGCATATAGTATCTACCATAAAAACTTAAACTCAGGGAAATACCTCAATATATTAAGGCAGCACATTGAGCTTTTGGTCGACAATTTGCCACTAAATATGTCTCAAATGATATATTTTCAATATGACGGACCAGCACATAATGCCAGAGTTGTTAGTGAATTTTTAAATACTACTACAAACTCAAGGACAGTAGAATCTAACAGGATTGCTACAGCCATTGTTGTGACAACCTACCCGCAAACTACGTCACACCATTTTCCACGCCCAGCTGTTGTTATGGTCTATGCGCAAGGTTTATAGAACATAAGGTTACCTCATTCCCTATGCCTCTGTAGTATCGATTATTACCCCGCAAATTGACGTCACTGGTTCGATACAGTCAGAATAAAAGATAGCCTATACGTGCCTATACTGTGGTACAGTCTATATAAAATATTTAAACCCCGCATCGTGTTGTGTTGTTCATAGAACCAGCTACGTCACTGACCCACCTTGCCTCTCAGAGGAGGAGAATCGGTATTGGGTAACCTTATGTTCTATAGACCTTGGTCTATGCGTTTGCTGTGTTTTTATAGGTTATATACTAAACGTATTCATATTAATTTTGAAGTTTTATGTTTTTAGACGTATTAATGTCTATCATATAACCTCTAAAAACACAGACAGTTACCAGGCGTGGCAAATAGTGTGATGTAGAGTGCGGGCAACCAACCTGTAGTCGACTACAAAAATACAATGGATGTAGCAGTCCTGTTAGATTTTACTGTCCTTGCTACAAACTTTGGCAATAATTGGAAACAATGCTTTCCCTCATGGTATGGTTATCACCCTAACAACATTAAGTTTTAAATACATACAATAGTTTTAGAAAGAACAAAAAAAATTAATACATTATATTCCATCATAGTATGTATGGTTATCACCATAGCAACATTAACTTTTAAATACATACATTAGATTTAGATGGAACAATAATTATTTTTGATACAAGATAGCGAAATGACACTTTTGAATGAAAGTTTTTTGCGAGCTTTAGCGAGCAAAAAAATTGTTCGAGAATGCAAAAGAATTTCGCTGTCGTGTATCAAACAACATTTTTTCGAAAACTGCGTGTTCTAAAGTTTATAAATTAATAAAACGACCAAATTCTGTATAATGACATTTAGAATTCATTTAATATTATGTCAAAAACTTAACGTCACATCGACTTAACCTCACATATTGAACAAATGTACTATTATAAATTTGCATTTAAACATGAAATGAAATGATAAAACAATTAAATGTTGATTATTTTGTGTTTATAATTTGTTCATAATAATAAATTAACAATTAATAGTATCAAATTCTTTGATTGTCGTAGCTGGACGTAAAAGTCTTTTGCGCCCCGGACGTAAAGTCTTTTTTGTAATTCGCGACGGTAACGAAAGCTCTAACAGTATTCAAACGGGTGCTGTAATGAGACTCCTTACAGCATCCGATGCTGTAATGAGAAAAATCTCATTACTAAAAAGTAACATTTTATGGAACCAGTTCAAGTTGGTGACATTGGGTTTTTCTAGTTGTCAATGTGACAATTTTTGTCTATGGATGTTTAAACACATTCTTAGCATCGAATACAAGGTCCACAATGATGAGGACATTGAACACTGAACAATTTCTCTTATTTTGGGAGGTGTACATGAAACATTTTTTTCAGATGAATACATTTTGTGTTTTGACAGTTTCTAATTGTCAATTCAAATTTCTACTTTCAAGTGTTACGGTGTTATCAACTGCTGCATACCTATTTCCCTACATTGTCAAATTTTATTTTATTTTTGTTAAAAAAAGGATAAAAACGCAAATTACAAAAAATAGCATGAAAAACACGTTTCATAAGACTTAAAGCACTCATTCATTAAAAAACTCGTGGTTTCGCCACTCGTTTTTCAACTTGAATTCGTGCATTTCAAGCGTGGCTTACGAAACTTGTTTTTTAATGTACTATTTACGTCCTGTTGACAAAAAACTATCGTTTTGACGGTCGCTAAGTACTATGCAAAAGTCAACTTTTAATAGCAGTTTTCGAAAAAATGAATTTTTGTTAATTATTCAATAACTATAAGAAATATACCCCACAAACTATGTGTATATCTGTTATCAGAAGAAAATAACAAATTATTTTAAGTCATAACCAACTATGGTTTAAATTTAAAAAAATAAAGTTACGTCTAAAATCTCGAAAATAAAAGATGGGAAAAAAAATTCTACCTACGCCACTGAATTTTTCGTAAAAAGTTGCCCATATAATGTTTTATTTATAATACTCCATCTTTGATAATAAGTGAGATATATTCGCGATTACCGTTTTTGCAAAATTTTCAGTTTTTGCCGATAGGGCGAAAAGGAGTTTGCTTTTTTTTTCGGAGTTTGCGGCATTAGCATTTTCTGGAAAAACGAAATCATGACATGTAAGCTACTTTTTCTCTATCTCTTTTAGTTTCGGAGGTGGCCTATGCGAACATCGAAATTGGGACACCTGTACTTTAAATTTGACGGGTCCGTTTTTTTTTTATTAAAAAAAAAATATAAAAAAGTATATTCAAAAATAATTAATTGATTAAAGGTTATCATAGTTTACATTGTATACACCTCTATATTGTTTACATGCAAAAGTTTGTGTAAACAATACGTATATTACTTGTAGACAAGAGTAAAGTAAACTTTATAGTCTAGGGCACATTCCTGATTTAAAGGCTTTAGTTTTAGTTAAACTTATGTTTTAGTGCTTTCCTATAAAAGGTTATTTTTGATTAGTTGACAAATGGAAGAAGAGAGCTTCATTTTGATTAAAAATAAACATATAAATCCTACATTATTGTTAAAAATATTTTTTTTAGATATGGCATTTTATATAAATAGTATATTTGATTCCCTTAAATGTTAAAAGGTCGGTTTAAAACCTACGTTATGTTGAAATTGTGATCAATAAATTTACCTGTATCTGGAACATCGGTGGGTCTCATAATCCTACGAATTTGTTCCATTCCTTGTAAATCCGGACTGAGTCCACCATGACAACAAAAAATCTTTTCATCAATAATCGCGGCGATGGGTAAACAATTAAAGCAATCCGTGAAAGTTTTCCACAGTTTGATGTTGTAGCGACGTTTGCACTCGTCGTAAAAACCGTAGATGCGATTTATTGAGGCGCACTCGTGGTTTCCGCGCAGTAAGAAGAAATTCTCTGGGTATTTAATCTTGTAAGCAAGTAGCAAGCAGATTGTTTCTAATGATTGTTTGCCGCGGTCGACGTAATCGCCCAAAAATAGGTAATTTGCTTCCGGGGGAAAGCCTCCATACTCAAATAATCTTAATAAGTCTGTATACTGTCCGTGAATATCGCCTAAAACCATTACAAAATCACTTTTATTAATAAAAAATAAAAAATTTTAGAAAGTGAGGTTAAGATACTTAACCTAACTTATCTTGATTTTAAATTGACTAATTTTAAAACTATTTTTGCAAATTTATGATACACACTGTATATCAAAGTGATTAAAAGGAACAATAACCTCAATTAGAGATAAAACTGATTCATTATTTCATGATAATAATAAACCTTAATTAAGTTGAATGTAATTTAAGGAATTTTTACCGCAAATTTTTAATGGAGCTTCCAATTCCAGTAGAATAGGCTGTTGCAAGAATATTTCACGTGATTTCAAACATAGGCCTCGCACCTCCGCCTCTGTCATCTGTACAGATTTGCCAGGGCGACATCCTCTAACTAAAAGCAATAACAATTTAATGAAACAATCAAATTATTAGCATTCCCTTAAAATAATCGATAAATCTCCAAGAACTAAGTAAACGAGCGAAATAGGGCATCTAAACTACATTAAACATTATAGATATATTTTCAAATTTTAAAAATTAAAATAAATAAAGTGGTTGTTTTTTTTGGTAAGCTCGCTTACGTTCGGTTGTAAATAGTTCTTTGAAAGTTGTTTTCTTCTTGGGGTCGCAATTTTGTAGGTCCTGTTGTATTTTATAAACTGTTATTTGAGGGCCCCGTTGGCAGCACAGAACAAAGAATAGAAAAAAAACACGGACAACGAATTACAGAAGGACTGAATGTGAGAAATAACAGTTTTAGCGTGCGCTTGATTTTGCTTTTAAAGAGACAAGTTCTCTTTTGGCAAGGAAAACATGGAGGTACTCGTTTTGACAGGTGAATGATTGCGAATTTCGATGGGAATCAATGAAAGACAAACGACGAAACGTTTTTTATAAGCTAAACGTGAACGTTGAACGTATAATTAAATAAATTACCTTCTAATAATCGTTGAATTAAGTTGTCGACGTTCAGTTCTTGCTCCGCCATTTTCCAATTCGTTATTTGACGTTCATTACACTAAAACTTTAGCAACAAAATCCCTAAACTTGTCCCCAATCGGTCCGTTCAAAATAACCAACCAATAAAGAAAAATCGATTTTTACCCGCGTCATAACATCACATTTTTAATAACAATATAACCTTGATAAACGACGATATTTTAAAATCTTATAGTTATCGCTATGTTTGTTGGAACCAAATACTATTAAAATTTGACGGATGACATTTTTCAAAATTTAAATTACTGGCGCCAAGAATAAAACAGTTATTACTAATTTATTAAAAAAATTAAATAATATTAATTGAACCAAACTAAATATTCGTTTAAACATAAAAATAGATAAAATTAAGTAATAATTCTAATTTAATTTTTGTAATTTACATATTAAGTTCATGTATGTTTATATAGATGTCGCAAATAGTCAATTTACAGTTTCCATTACCTATATGTCAAAATTTGTGTTTTAAACCTTTAAATATAATTATTTTTATGCTTTTGATAAAAAAAAATTTAAGTATTCTTTTAATTAAGGTAAGCAATTAAAAATTAATAATAGATCAAAAATTAATCTATTCTTTTTTAGATGTCACCACAATCCAATAATGTTCTCAGTGATTCCCAGTTATCTTTAATACACCTGAACACACCTAAAATTAAGCAATACACTTTAATGAACGTGTTGTAACGTTGATATGAATCTTAATCACTTAATAAATAAATAATTTAAATGGTATTATCTGATAAAAACTCTAATTATAACGTTTGAGATTTTGATGAATTAAAGTAACATTTTGAAATTAACCTTATCAAAATTATTATTTAAAAGGTTTTAAGGTTCTAGTCTTCCATTAACAGTGAACTTCAATTAACAGTATCTTGTTTTCTGTTAGCAGTATTTAGCTTTCTGTCAACAGTGTCTAATATCGAGATAATATAGAGCCTTTTATAAGGAAGATCTAAGTAGTCTACTGTAAGCAGTATCCTGCAGGGCCGGATCCAAGGGCGTAGATAAGGGGGGGTAAAGGGGGTAACTACCTCCCCCAGAATAAAGAAAAGAAAATGTGTATTTTCGTATATTTTTTTTTAATTTACTACTACTTTAGGGCTTTAGCAATAATTATATTTCTAATTTCTGACGTTAATGTTTATTTTATTTTCCCCCATAAACCTTGATTCTAAGCACTATTTGGCGAGCATAACGCTGTAATGTTTCTAAATTACCCCCCCTAGAACTAAAAGATATCTACGCCCTTGGCCGGATCACACCTTTTGGCCCCAAAAAAAGTCTAATATTACCATTTAATAAGGCTCCTTAACCGAGACTGTCACGGTAAATTTCGAATTACTTCCTTATTTATTAATGGATTAGATTAATTTATCATTTGTCATATTTCTACAGTAGTTATGAAGCCGGGACAAGAACGGAAAATGAAATTTGAAGAAAAATATTGCTTTATTTTTTAAAATAGTAAGATTTTTACAATTTTTCTTCTTGGCTCGGATGTAAAACAATAAAATAGAAACATTATTCCTGTAGCACTTTTACGAAATATTAATAATTAACCCGTAATTAGTAATTTACGGTTTTATATTAAATTTTAATATTTTGGAATATATTTTGCTTCCCGGATTTCACAAGCGATGATTGGTTAAAGAAAAAAACATGTGGGCTGTAAAAAAACCACAGATATACATAAAAAACAAGTTTGTGGACATAGTTCTTGTCTACCGACTGCATACTATGAAAGAGAAGGAAGCTTACTTTTTCTGATATCATGCTATAGAATGTTCTGATTATCGGTTTGATACTGCGAAGTCCGGAGAATACTTTGAATGCCGGAACGATTAACATCCGAAGAGGTATATTCCAGGGGGACTCATTAAGCCCTCTGTGGTTCTGCATGGCCATAAAGCCCCTTACATCGATACTTAATAAGCTTAAGAAAGGAATAAACCTGGGTCGCTTCAAGGCTTGCATAAGCCATCTGTGGTACATCGACGACCTGAAGTTGTACTCAGAAAAGAAAGAACATCTTACTAAGTTATTGGATACAGTGCGGCAATTTAGCGATAATATCCGGATGAAGTTCGAAGTTGATAAATGCAAGATGCATTCAATGATTAGGGGAGAGTGGACAGAGCATGAGGGGTATGAAATAGCAGGAGAGAAAAGAATAGCGGGTTTGGAGGAAGGTGAAAGATACAAATACCTTGGATATCTACAAGCGCGCGGAATTGATCACGTCAGAGCCAAAAAGAATCTAACTGAGACGTACCTTAAAAGGACAAGAGCTCTTCTAAAATCACAGCTATCTGCGCAGAACATTTCGAAGGCTGTGGGCACGTACGCAACATCGGTACTAAACTATAGTTTCATCATAAGATGGACTGAAACCGAACTTGACGCTTTAGACACAAAAACACTTAAAGAATTTCGCAAATTCCGAGCACACCACCCGAACAGTGCAATTGAGAGATTTCACTTACCTCGAAAAGAAGGTGGAAGGGGAATCCCTAGCGTCAGGCGAAGTCACTACAGACAAATACAGAACCTACGTCAATACTTTACGGAAAAGTCGGACAGCAGCCCAATTCATAAGGCCATTGTGGGTGAAGAGGAAAAGTCCACTCCGCTGCGGTTGGCCGATGTGAATTATGATCCAGAGACGCAGTACGCCAGCCAAGGACAGCTTGTGAAACAGTGGAAAAGTAAACCGTTACACGGCCGATATAGAGCTATGATAGAAGAGGAGGGAATCGACGAAGTAGCAAGTCTCCAATGGCTTCGCGGCACGGGACTCTTTGTAGAAACCGAGGGGTTTCTTATCGCAATCCAAGATCAAGTGGTCCCCACTAGATCCTATAGAAAGAGGATAATGCGGGAAAACATCGGTTCTGTTAAGTGTCGAATATGTAACAATAAGGAGGAATCACTGGAACTTATTAAACTAGCTGCATTGCAAATAACGGCAGGCAAATCGTTCCACAACGTAATCGACTGCACTGTAAAAGATCTGTGATAGATTTCAGTACTATGGACTGGAAACATGAGTGTAGAATCCGACATTGATCGAGTGGGCAAGTCATGTGATGCTAAAAAATGAAAGGCATCGGACAAATAAGCAGGAGTGCGGGTACAACATAGTAAGCATACGAAATGATCTACGACTCTGGCAAGTCATCATCTGCAGGTTGTTACGATATGTTGTAATCTGCTGAAACTTTCCTAAATCAAAAATCTACCGTATACAATTGTTCTGAAGTCTTTCCAATTTACCCCGAAGGGCTGCGGACAAATCGGGATACGCAGCATCGATATAATCAATGTGTGGGAAAATGAGAGAATAACAAAGATTACTACGTACAACAGTAGGAAGGTAGCAGCGAAATTTTTTCAAAGTATGGAAACAGAAGTAAACCCTCTTACAGACTCCCTGAACTTGTGGCCACCAAGACATCGCCGAATTCATTACCACACCAAGATTTTTGACCGTGTTAGAAAATGGAATAACAGTATCGCCAAGCCTCAGTTGAAGGGTAGTTAAGGAATTAAATTGCTTGCGTATTACCTGGATTCAGGTTAAGTCCATGACGTCTAGACCAGTCAACCACTGGGAGGTTGTTAACAGTTGACGAAATATAAAGCTGAAGGTCATCTGCATACAAATGATGGTTACACGAGATACCATCACTAATACTATTTATGAAAATTGAGAAGATCAAAGGATCCAGCACACTGCCCTGCACTCCACATTTGATGTCAATAGGAGAAGAGAGTACAAATTCCACGCGGCCACGTAAAGACCGATAAGAAAGGTAGGACTGGAACCAAGATACACAAGAAGAGGTAAAACAAATACCAGAAAGCCTAGTTAACAGGAGGGCATGTTCCACAGAATCAGGCCTTTTAAAATCAAGTAATACTAGCAAGGTAACACAACGGTTATCACACGTAGATTTAATATCATCGGCGATCTTAATCAATGCTGTTGTAGTACCATGCCCTTCATGAAAACCAGATTGGAAGTTGTTAATCAAATTAAACTCCTCAAGATATTTCTGAATCTGCAAATAAGCTAAACGTTCAATAGCTTTTAACAACGTAGATAGAACAGAAATGAGTCGAAAGTTACCAACATGGGACTGAGATTTAATTTTTGGGATAGGAATAACATAGGCGTTTCGCCAGATTAACGGAAATATAGACTGTTTGAAAGGACAGTTGCAACTATGTAATAACTATATCCAGAATGGGTAAGAGGAATCTGAGTCCAATACCATCTGCTCCGACACTAGTGGACTTGGAGTAAGTTAAAGCATCCCGGACCTCAGCATCTGTAACCAAGCTGAATGAAAAGGAAAGCACGTTGGTAGATGTAAGGATTTCATTAATAGTATTCTGCCTAGTTATGTTACCAACCACCACAGGAGGATCCGCAAATATATATATTATATGCCTATGCAATATCAAACCAGTACCGGGCCCCTGTAGGTACAGGGCCTTGAGGCGCGCGCCTCAAGCGCCTACTGGTTAATCCAGCCCTGGTATCATGTCTTCTATCAGCATTGTGTAGTGTTCTATCAGCTGTATTTAATTTTCTCCAAGCAATATTTAGTCTTCTGCCAAATGTATCTTTTCTTCTTCAAGCTGTGTCTTGTTCCCTTTTGGCAGTACTTGTTCTTCTATTAGCAGTATGTATTCATCTGCCCACAATATGTAGTCTTTTATAAGGAAGATCTAGTCTACTGTAAGCAGTATCATGTCTTCTATAAGCATCCAGTTTTTTGCATGCAGTATTTAGTCTTCTGCCAGATGTATCTTGTAACTATTAAAAGTATCTTTTAATAGTATAATAAATATACACGTATAAATTACAATACTTTTCTAAAAGAAAATGATTCTGATTTCAAGGAAGCTGATACTAATATTCAACAACTAAGAAGAATTCCAAGAGTCGCTCCAAAAGGTAGATTGTCAGAAAACATGAGGCAGCACACTTTTAGGCAAATTGTTGGAACAGGGAAGAAAACATATCCTCAAAA